AATTGTATTTTCCATCTTTCGCTTTGTAGGCGTACTGTCAAGATATTTTTTCACATTTTGAATAATTTTTAGTTCACTTTCACCCCTTTCTCAATTAATATCTCAAAATGTTTTTTAACAGATTCATACTTTTTTCCTTCATTTCTTTGAGTTTCTTTAATTAGGTCTAATTTCCTTTGTAACTGTTTTATTTTCTCAATCAATTTCTTTTTTAGGTCAATCATATCAGATATATTTTCGAATTCATAAAAACTTTTTTTGCATATTTTTTACAAGTTTTGTCTTGTGATAACACCTTATATGATCTATATACTAGTAATATATACATGCATAAGTCAGATTATCTCTTTCACCTCCAATTCTGGATACTCATATTTTACCGGAACTGGCATGTTGACAGTTTAAGATCTTTCTAACGCGTGATCAAAAAGTTTTCAGATTAGAGTTGGCCATGGAAATATTTGTCATGTCATTTGTCAAAGAAAACAACATCCATCATACTTTTTGTACATTTATTGTTGCATACTTTTTATAAAGTTTGGTGTGAATAGAAAAATTGAAAAACCAATTTGAAATGGGTCGCATTTATTTATATTGTTACAAAAAAAAATCATTGGGCGCCCTGGTACGACGCCTATGGGTTCTAGTATGTACGGCGATGATGACTCATCGTCGATGACGGCGGCCGGGCGGCGTTCGCCATAGAAAAGCCTGCAAGCGGAAGTCGCGATGGGCAATCCAGAAAGAACGACTATTATTCAGGCAGTTTAGTCAAAACAGAGTCCAACCAAGTTACTCCGCAATTCTTTTGTACTTAATTGCTGTGTAATTACTAAAAAATAAATTGTTGAGTTTTGCCCACGCCGATTTTAATCACCGATCATCGTAACAATATATGTATTTTCAGTCCTAAGATCTAACCTAGCCCTGTATATAGTACTAAAACTAAAGCGAGTATAGTATCGCTATTCTTGCAAACATTTTATCTCTTTTACCAGTGGGGATAAAAAAAAACGTTACAAATTTATACAACAAATAGCAGAACATTACAATAATTAAATAATGGGCTATGGTAACGGTGAATAATTTTACATATGTTTTTGTGCTGGAGACAGGTGGTTCCTTCGTAATGTAGACCTTGAATCCTATAGCACAATTGTAAAGATACTTTTTCCACTGTAAGTCTTCCATTGAGAAATTGAACAACCTTTTGTCGTCGTCGCTCATGTCCGTCCACAAATCTTGTACGTTATCTTCATCAAAATCAAAATTGTGGGTAGTAAAATACGAGATAAGCGTAAGAACTTTATCGATTTTTGTGTAGGCTTTAACAGCACTAAAATTACACGTTAAATTAAGAATTGAGTAGGTTATTTCAAAAAAATTTTTACATGGTTGGTTTTCCTATACAATAGAGAACAGCATCCATAAGGTATGCTGGAATCGTGTGAAACAAGATCATACAAATCTGGTTGTACCGTTTTCCCCTGAAATTGAAAACGTTGTACCAAATTAAATTTTCCAAGGCTATTTTCCAGTGAATTCAAACGGTAGCAAAACTGTCGTAAAATAAAATTTCTCTTATCTAGCAAACATAAGTATAAACTACATATATTTATCACAGTTAAGCTGATTCCTTTTAAACCCGATGTAATTAAAAACTGTAATGTCAGTTTTTTTTCCTTTGCGGTTTTCCACGTAGCAGCTAAAATACAATTACAAACGTAATCCACTGGTACGAGATGTACCACAATGTCATGGTTGCCATGGAAGGTTCTAATGATACCAAGACCTGCTCCTATCACTATCCTAATGGGACCGTAGATATTGTCAATCCATCCTGGCAGTGGTTCTTTAAGTGAATTCATCACTAGAATGGCAAATAAGATTTGGTTACTTCAATGTTGGAAAGTTGCTTACCAATTGATGGCCTAACTATAGTGGCTGGAAAATGTTTAGCTGCACTTTTCATTAAATGTTCAGAAATGCATTTGGTATACACATAAGTGTTCGGCCATTTATTTAATCATCTTAAAAAAAGGCATTTATAAGTGGAGTCGAAAAATCCTTTAAAAACGGAAGGAGAAATTTTTTAATGTTACGTAAAACGGACTTACGCAGGAGTAACATTTGTGAAAACACTCTCATCTAGATCATTCACCATACTGAATAGAAATTCAGGCTGTACGGGCGGATCATACATCTCTTCCTTAATGTGAGAATGTATAGAATTGGAATAGGCTGTCGATACAAGAACGAAACACTTGAAACTCAAAAGTTACATTTTTCGAAAATATATGTAAAACATGCTACCTTTAAATTAACTATACCCTTACTCAATTCCAAAAGATCTGCAGTAGATTTAACATTACTAGCAGCCTTTTTCAAGCTCTGATCAAACCTTACATTCGCCGCAAGATGTATAACAAAATTAACTTCATTTTTTTAAATTTTCAAATTATCGGTTATTCCTAAGAAAGGTTCTTCACAGTCCCCTTCAACCAGCGAAACTTTTTCCTTCCAGTTGCTAGTTTTTAATTTTAAGAACTCAAAACACTGAACAGAATGTACAAAATTTTAAGAAAACTGTCAATACTCACAGGCTGCTCAAAAATTTCGTCAAAGCGTTGCTCAGTGTTCTTCCCTTTTTTGGATCGTAGCAGCAAGTAAATCTTTTTAATATCTTCACAATCTGTTAGCAGTTTTCCGATCATCACTTTGCCCAAAAACCCTGTTCCCCCGGTCACGAAAATCGTTTGGTTTTTGAAATATGTTTGATTTGGCTGTTGTCGGGTGTCATGGTTGCGACTTACTAAAGAGAATGTGCTTTTCTTGAAATACGCAAAAAAATTTCATTTATTAACGATGGATATGCTGAATAATTTATGAATGTGTTTAAAGAAACCTTTTGTCCTCGTTCTTAATAATAACTCATTCATTTTTATAGAATGTAACCTTGTATGTAACGTAATATAGTATAGAATTTACAAATCTAGTATTCTGGTCTACTTAGAAAAGTTACTTTTTTTACTTGACATACGAATGCAGTGCCAGATTGAAAGAACGACATTTATGATCTAAACTTAGCTGGCTAAAACCGACTTGTCAAAAACTAGATTTAAACCCATACTTCCCTTCTAGATATTCCGCGAGATGGACAAAATGGTCAAACTTATGTCTTTATATCTTAACAAATGTAAATTTGGAAACGAGAGTAAAAACTGCATAGGCAACCATGTGCCCATTTAGTTCTTTCTGGTAGCTGGTACTTCTGCTAGGGAATTTTAGTGAGAGGGTTGGTAGAAGTTGGCTGGTTTGGTAGATGCGTCCCTCTGTTCGGTGGCGTCACTTTTGGTTTGTAAGTTAGGTTAAGTTTAGTTGGTTTTGTAGTTAATAAAAAAGGGAGAGCCTTTGTTTAACGAAAATTAATCGTAACGACGACAACGCCACAGTTTCCCCAATCCGCTTATTTACCTAATTCTTGCGGCTTTCGAAGCAGAAATATGCGAATTTTCGACCGACGCTAACACGTGTTGTAAATTTATTTTATTGTTTGTAAATTCACAGCTCATGTTAGGATTTTAATCGTTAACTGATTCTAACACAATTTAACAGACATTAGATTTGTTCAGATAGAGCACTTGCTAGGAGATTTCATGAAATACACAAATTATGAATAAGGCTTCTGGATGCTTATACTTAAGTGTTACATTATAACACTTCTTAATTCCACACACAAGATTGCGATTTAAGTAACCAGTCACTTGGATCAAGGCATAAATTAACATAATGTAAATGCTTTGTTTGAATCGTTGATAAAGTGTGGCATAATTTAACATAATGTAAACTCTTTGTTTGAATCGTTCATAAAGTGTGGCATAATTTAACATCTGGTAGCGGCCATGTTAAAAAAGTGTTTTCAAACCGAGCACATGTTTGAACTGTAAATTCTCATTGAACAAGTTAACAACATTGTGGGTGTTTGGGGGAATGTAAAACGAGGGTCCACACTGAAGCTGAATAAATTCACTTTTTAAAATTTAACCAATAGCTCGAATGGACACCAAATATTAATCTCATGTAAATTTGTTAGCGTTAGCAATTTTTCACCTCATACAATCTTTTCTATCTCGCACTTTTAGCCTCAGTAATTTTCCTTGCTGTATAATTTAAATTGAACGTAAATCTTCATGCTCTGCAGTTCCTAATCTCACGTAACTTTTTATCTGCACAAGTTTTATTTCACACCAGATCTTTTTATTTTTATAAATCTTTGCTAGTTTTTTGACCATATAAATATTTTATTGATTAATGCTTCCATCATATAAAGTGTCTTAATCTCAGATAAAAATTCTTTGCTGCTTAAAATTTCACGAGAGTGTATGGCGAATTTAAATGATGTTAATTGCTCTTTTTGAAACTTTAACACTTGTTCAGTTGTCGTTAATATCAGCGTTATAGAAAGTGAACACGTGGCGGAAACAGAGTGCGCGGTTCCTGGTCGAGCTGGCGGTCGCGTCATCTGCACAAAGGATGCAGGTCTAGCGTAGAAATCAGGGGCGGTCGGGATGACTGTCGGCTTGTCCCGAGACCTAACCACGAGTTTGCGACCGTAACGGCCTGCTCGTACAGGCACGTTTCTTCGTGATAGAGGGGTACTGGGCGGCAGTGCTTGCGATAGAATAGAACCACCGTCGTCGGTAGGAGAAGAGCCACGACCAGGAGCCCCAAATTCCGCTCGTGCTACAAAGCCCCCTATGGATAATTCATACACATATATTTGTATCGTTACAAATTTAAAGATAATTAAAATAAAGGAGTTGGCAACGACCCATTAGAACTTCAAAAATAAAAAATGCATCTAAATCTAAAAAATAAGCCAATTACAATAGATAAAAACATATAGGCTGTTCCATTAAAAAAAACACTAATTTATGCATTGCCCCCAAAAACGGTATAGTAATGTAGATTTATTTTTGGTTCTAATAATATAATTAATGATATATTGAAAATCACCACATTCACTAACACTATATAACCCTACAACTAAAATCAGTATAGGTACTATCGTTATTCTTGCAAACATTTTATCGCTTTTACCAGAAGGAATTTAAAAAAATCGTTAAAAATGTATACAATAAATAACAGAACATTGCAACAATTAAATAATGGGCTATCGTCACAGCGTATAATTTTACGTATGTTTCTGTGCTGGCGACAACTGGTTCCTTTGTGATGTAGAGCTTAAATCCTAGAAGACACACGTAAAGATAATTTTTCCACTGTAAATTTTCCATTGAGAAATTGAACAACGTTTTGTCGTCATCGCTCATCTCCGTCCACAAATGTTGTACGTTATCTTCATCAAAATTTAAATTGTGGGTAGTAAAATACGATGTAAGCTTAAGAGCTTTATCGATTTTTGCGTACGCTTTGACAGCACTAAAATATAAGTTAAGATTAAGAATTAAGTAGATTATTTTAGAAAGATTTACGTGGTTGGTTTTCCCATACAGTACAGAACAGCATCAATAAGGTATGCTGGAATCGTGTGCAACAAGAACGTCGAAATCTGGTTACACAGTTTTCCCCTGAATTTGAAAACGCTGTACCAAATTAAGTTTTGGAAGGGTATTTTCCAGTACCATGAACTCATGTAGGAATAGAACTCTCCTAAAATAAAATTTGTCAGTTCTGCCAAACATTAGTAAGTATAAAACGAATAATATACCCCAGGTAAGCTGTTTCCTTTTAAATCCAATGTAATTAAACACTGTAACGTTAGACTTCCTTTCTTTTGCGGTTTTCCACGTAGCAGCTAAAATACAATTACAAACGTAATCCACTGGTACCAGATATGTTAAAATGTCATTGTAGGCATGGATAGTTCTAATGTAACCAAGAGCTCCTCCAATCACTAAGGCAATGGGTCCATAGATGTTGTCAACCCACCCAGGTACTGGTTCTTCAATTGAATTCAGAACTATAATGGCAGTTAAGATTTAGTTATTTTACCTAATATTAGCAAGTCATTTACCAATCGATGGCCTAACTATAGTTACTGGAAAATATTTCACTGCATTTTTCAATAAATGTTCAGATATGCATTTGCTGTACACATAAGTGTTCGGCCATTTTTTTAATAACCTTAAAAAAATGTGAAAAGGATCAAGAAATTGTTTTAAAATAAAGGCAGACTTACGCGGGAGTTAAAATTGTCAAAACACTCTCTTCTAGGCCATTTACCATACTAAATAAAAGCTCGGGCTGGATGGGCGGATCATATATCTCTTCCTTAATGTGAGAATTTATACAATTGGAATAAGCTGTCGATACAAGAACGAAACACTTGAAACTCAAAAGTTACATTTTTCGAAAATATATGTAAAAGCATGCTACCTTTAAATTAACTATGTCCTTACTCAGTTCCAAAAGATCTGCAGTAGATTTAACATTGTTAGAAGCCTTTTTCAGACTCTGATCAAACCTTACATTCGCTGCAAGATGGATAACAAAATTAACTTCATTTTTCAAAATTTTCAAATTATCGTCGCTTATTCCTAAGAAAGGTTCTTCACAGTCCCCTTCAACAAGCGAAACTTTTTCTCTCCAGTTTTTACTTTTGGATTTTAACAACTCAAAACACTTAATGGAATATACAAAATTTAAAGAAAACTGTGAATACTCACAGGCTGCTCAAAAATTTCTTCAAAGCGTTGCTCAGTGTTCTTCCCTTTTTTGGATCGTAGCAGCATGTAGACCTTTTTAATATCTTCACAGTCTGTTAGCAATTTCGCGATCATGACTTTGCCAAGAAACCCTGTTGCCCCGGTCAAGAAAATCGTTTGGTTTTTGAAAATAAGTTTGATTTGGCTGTTGTAGAGTGTCATGGTTGCGACTTACTGAAGAGAACAAAGTTTTCTTAAAGTCCGTAATTTTTATTTATGAAGGATGGATGTGTTGAATAATAATTTATGAATGACTATGGAGAATTTTTCCGTCGTCGTCCTTAATTATACCTCGTTTATTTCATTGTAAAGTAACATTTTGTAATGATAATTTTGCGTCATACCTACTGTACAAATCTAATCTCATGCAAATACGTTATATGTATTCTCATGAGATTAATATTAGTAATAATTAGGTATCATTTTTAAATGCACAAAAATATGATAGGAGTAACATTTTTGTTGAATGGAGGTTGTATTTATTTTTAATTTTTCTTCTTAATCGTAAAATGTAGTATTGTTACGTTGGATTGGTATTTAAAATCGGCGTGGGTAAAACTCACCAGTTTATTTCATAGCTAACAAAACTACACGACTAACTATGTAGCGATTATGTACAACTCCTCCCATTGTCTGGACTTCATTGACTGTTCCCGACGGTGGTTGCCATTTAAAGAGCTACGCGAACGGTCGCCGTCACCGCTCCTAGGCTTATTCTGGGCACCCATCGCGACTTCCGCTTCCAGGCCTTTCTTTAGGGAACGCCGTTCAGCCGCCGTCACCGACGTTGAGTCACCCATCATCGCCGCACATACTAGAAAACCCATGGGCGTCGTGCCGGGGCACCGTATTGTAACAGTATTATTAAAAATTAAACGATTTTACTAAATGTAATATTGGCAAAATTAGCCATAAAATAAACAAAAATGAGAAAAATATGGATAAAACAAGAAGGGTTACTGGTGTTTTTGGACCCTCTGCGATTTAGTTATGTGGGTTTTGTTAATTAAAGATCCGTTGGATTTCGTGCTCAAAATGAAAGGTTAGTTGAAGATAGAATAATGAACGACAAGTAAGATTCATAGTTAAATAGTCCTGGCAGAAAAAACACCTTTAAAATTGTGCTTTGATAAGATCATCTTGAAAAAGCTGAAATTATTATACCATAGAAAAATGTCTTATTTGTAGGTGACAAAATATACCTAATAACAATACAGAATTTACAAGTAGTTATATAGTGGGGCTCCTGGCTCAGTTTGACCTCATTTGACCTGTGCTAGAAACCCCACTGGTTCTATAAAATTCTTGTACTCATCGAATCCATTCCATGATTTTCAGTGAAATTTCTTCGATGCGCATTTGTTTTCTCACATCTTTTTATATATATGAGTAGTCTTATTTTTAAATACCTGTACGTTTATAAATTCCAGGCGTCCTTTTATATATCTCATTCTTTATTTGTATATCTGGGCCTATAAAATGTACCTGGTTCGAACCAGTGTAAAATTTTTCTTAGAAACTGTCATGTCTTACACCTGTTCTGTGATCAAATTTACTGATGCATAAAAATCATTTAAGTGTTCATTGTAAACATTGTGTCAATGATTTTTCTAATATTATTTTTGCTTAACTGCACAGATTTTTCAAGAACGCCATCGAAGTTGTATTTGTCTCTGCATCTGTTTTATTTATTGTTTCATCGAAACCTCGTTGTGATAAAATGTCGTATTTAGCACTAATCGACCTCATTTTAACTTCTCTTTCGTTTTTCATGGCATCGATTCTTTTCACAAGATTAGTAACCTCTGTAGCATTTTTTTTTATCTTGGCGTGGAAACTTCGTCTTGTATTGTACAAGATATTGGATACATTTATTGTTTTCACATTTTAAATAGATTTTAGTTCACTTTCACCTCTTTCTCAATTAATATCTCCAAATGTTTTTTAAGAAATTCATACTGTTACGAAATAAGCCCATATGCCGCCCCGGTACGACGCCTATGCGTATTCTAGTATGTACGCGTTGCTTCTCGTATGAAGTCTGACTCAACGGACGCGCCGATGCAAGCGGTTGTCGAGACGGGTCTAGAAGAAGTCTCGAAGCGGCGCTCGAAAAGCCTGGAAGCGGAAATCGCGAATACCCAATTCGAGAAAGAGCTGGATCGCCGAAATACGGATTTAAATATACGCCACCCTCAGGAATTATTCATTCATAATTCAGTCAAGAGTCGAATGAGCGAATGCATTTAAGTTGCGAAGTTATCGTTGTTATAGTTAGTAGTGTAATTCGAGTTAAAGAAATAAATTGTTGAGTTTTACCTACGCCCGATTAATTATTCGCCCGTCAACCACAACACTGGTGTCGGAAGTGAGATCTGAAATTAATAACCGGTTTTATTACGGCGATATCCGGGCAGATCGGACAAGAACCCTGACGAATTTATGCCTATCGAGACTAGAGCTCAAGCCGCGAAAATGGACGAACAAGCAGATGATGGCTATGCTTGAGACGGAAAATGGACGCAAGAAACAAAGAAATGGACGAGAAAATGGACACAAAATTGGAAAGAATGGGTCCAAGCATGGAAGAAATGAACCAAAAAATGGATGCAAGGGATGAGAAAATGAAGGCAACAATAGAAAAAGTGAACGGAAAAATGGAAATAATGGACGCAAAAATAGACAAGCAAAAAGATGACATACTCACCAGCCTAAGTGAAAAATTCCAAAAGGAAGTGGAAGCAAACAAGAATGAGATAGAAGAAATAAGAAAAGAAATGAAAGACGTATAAACAAATCTGATTGCAATAGAAAACAACATGGAAGATCGAATGGAAACTATAGAAGATCGAATGAAGACATTTGAAAAGACAATGAAAAATACAGTACCTAATCACTGGTTCGTGTTATGTGACGTCGGCCCCTAGAACGATTCAACCACCTACCCACGATGGTCAGATAGCTTGGTCATCGTACAAAAAGCAGTTTGAGAAAGCTAAAGCCTTAGTAATAGCTTTGCGAGGTGCAGCGCTGGAGATACTGCAAACTCTATCAGAAGAAGATAGAAACAGATACAAGTGCCCTAACTGCTGCCCTAGAACCTCGATTTGGGGATGAACATCTGAGACAAATTTCAAGTGAAGACAAGAACCCAGAAAGTTGGAGAGTCCCTTCAGGAATTTGAAGCAGATATCAAGAGACTGGTACGTCTTGCATACACCAACGCACCACCAACTTTTCAGGAGACGCTTGCGATAGAAACCTTCGTAAATGGCATTCGCGACGGTGAAGTTAACAAAGTTCTACAACTATCAAGGTACCAGACATCATCGGAGGGGGCGTACAATTCTTCAAGAACCTGGCACAAGGTCAGAGTGGCAGAATTAGAAACAGAAGAAAACGACAAGGTAGAAAAGTTGTTGGAAAAATTCTCGCAACGCATAATAGATGGGCTAGCTCAAGGATTAGAGAATGGTGTGTCTTGGAAGAGAAACGCGATTGTCGTGCTCGATCACCAGCTCCGAGGAAAAGCACACGACAGAGATCTCCTCAAAGAAATCTACAGGAATACTAAAAACAGCCAGTACTTTGGGGGATGTGCTGGCTGGTATGAATAAGGCCCCCAAGAAAGTGATGATAGGAAGTTTCGTCAGAGGCAGTAATCCAACTATACCGGGAAAGATTAATGGAATTCCCGCAGTAATCACGATCGATACTGGCGCTGAGGTATCAATTATATATATGTCGAGGACTCCTGAGAGCTAAAGACCTAGCGACTTCATCCGAAACAATCAGATTGAAGACAGTCACTGGAGAGTCAACACCAATCATGGGCCAGGCAGAAGTAGAAATCTACATTGGTCAGCTGAAGATAAGACATCGCGCTCTCGTGGCTGGCATCGAAGATGACTTCATTTTGGGAATGGATTTGATTAGCCGCCATAGATTCACGGTTCTCCAGTGGAGAAAGTGCTACATCTTGGCAATAAAGAGTTTGTCCTGAATCAACGCAGTATTGAATCCAAGCCTGTAAGACTGATCGCGTGCCAGAATGTTAAAGTCAAAGGGAATACAGAGACGATTGTTCCAGTTAGAGCAGAAATCGAGCCCGGATTTGCCCTCGGCATTATTCAACCGCTACACACCCCCAAGAAGAATCTCATGATTGCTAGTGCTTTAATCAGTACCGAAAATGACATACCTGTACGTGTCGAAAATGTTTTTCCCAAATCCAGGAACATCAAGAGTGGCGAGGTTCTTGCTGGCTGTGAATCAGTCACGAAGATAATTCATCATAACGGAAACAGAAACACAGTGGAATGTTCGCATCTGAACTGTCCTCTGGGCGTACAAACATAGTGCAACATCGCATAAACACTGGAGACGCACAACCGATCCGTCAAGCTCCACGAAGACTACCTTTGGCAAAACAAGAGAAATCCGAAGAACTAGTACGAAAAATGTTGGACGAAGGCGTCATAGAGGAGTCAAACAGCTACCCGCTTCCACAAATTGATGACACGTTCACAACATTATCAGGATCCGCCTGGTTTTCCACGTTAGACCTAAAAATCGGCTACTGGCAAGTTGGTATTCATCCAGAAGATAAAGAAAAGACCGCCTTTTCTGCCGGAAGCGGCTTGCATCAATTTACAGTCATGGCTTCTGTGTAATGCTCCGGCTCTGTAAGGCCTCGACTGCGAAACTTCCAGAAGGTACGGTTTTAAATAGAGGCCACCTTCAGGAACGATTTTTATTCAACCCGTTTAGTCAAGTTGCTCCGGAATTATTTTGTACTTAATCGCCGTGTAATTAGTCGTGTAAATCTGAATTACTAAGAAATAAATTGTTGAGTTTTACCCACGCCGATTTTAATCACCGATCATCGTATTTTCAGTCCTAAAATCTAACCTAGCCCTATATATAGTACTAAAACTAAAGCGAGTATAGTATCGCTATTCTTGCAAACATTTTATCTCTTTTACCATTGGGGATCAAAAAAGAAACGTTACAAATTTATACAACAAATAGCAGAACATTGCAATAATTAAATAATGGGCTATGGTAACGGTGAATAATTTTACATATGTTTTTGTGCTGGAGACAGGTGGTTCCTTCGTGATGTAGCGCTTGAATCCTATAGCACAATTGTAAAGATACTTTTTCCACTGCAAGTCTTCCATTGAGAAATTGAACAACGTTTTGTCGTCGTCGCTCATCTCCGTCCACAAATCTTGTACGTTAGCTTCATCAAAATCAAAATTGTTGGTAGAAAAATACGAAATAAGCGAGAGAACTTTATCGATTTTTGCGTAGGCTTTGACAGCACTAAAATTACACGTTAAATTAAGAATTGAGAAGGTTATTTTAAAAAAATTTACATGACTGGTTTTCCTATACAATAGAGAACAGCATCAATAAAGTATGCTGGAATCGTGTGCAACAAGATCGTGCAAATCTGGTTGTGCAGTTTTCCCCTGATATTGAAAACGTTGTACCAAATTAAATTTTCCAAGGGTATTTTCCAGTACTGTGAATTCAAATGGTTGCAAAACTGTCCTAAAATAAAATTTCTCTGACCTAGCAAGCATAAGTATAAACTACATATATTTACCCCAGTTAAGATGATTCCTTTTAAACCCGATATAATTATAAACTGTAGTAACCGATTTTTTTTCTTTTGCAGTTTTCCACGTAGCAGCTAAAATACAATTACAAACGTAATCCACTGGTACGAGATGTGCCACAATGTCATGGTTGCCATGGAAGGTTCTAATGATACCAAGACCTGCTCCGATCGCTATTCCAATGGGACCGTAGATATTGTCAATCCATCCTGGTAGTGGTTCTTTAAGTGAATTCATCACTATAATGGCAAATAAGATTTGGTTACTTCAATGTTGGAAAGTTGCTTACCAATTGATGGCCTAACTATAGTGGCTGGAAAATCTTTAGCTGCACTTTTCATTAAATGTTCAGAAATGCATTTGCTATACACATAAGTGTTCGGCCATTTCCTTAATAATCTTAAAAAAAGCATTTATAAGTGGAATCGAAAAATCTTTTAAAAACGGAAGCAGAAACGGACTTACGCAGGAGTAAGATTTGTCAAAATATTCTCATCTAGACCATTCACCATACTGAATAGAAGTTCAGGCTGTATGGGTGGATCATACATCTCTTCCTTAATGTGAGAATGTATAGAATTGGAATAGGCTGTCGATACAAGAACGAAACACTTGAAACTCAAAAGTTACATTTTTCGAAAATATATGTAAAACATGCTACCTTTAAATTAACTATGCCCTTACTCAATTCCAAAAGATCTGCAGTAGATTTAACATTACTAATAGCCTTTTTCAAGCTCTGATCAAACCTTACATTCGCCGCAAGATGTATAACAAAATTAACTTCATTCTTCAAAATTTTCAAATTATCGTCGCTTATTCCTAAGAAAGGTTCCTCACAGTCCCCTTCAACTAGCGAAACTTTCTCCTTCCAGTTGCTAGTTTTGGATTTTAACAACTCAAAACACTGAACGGAATATAGAAGATTTTAAAAAAACTATCAATACTCACAGGCTGCTCAAAAATTTCTTCAAAGCGTTGCTCAGTGTTTTTCCCTTTTTTGGATCGTAGCAGCATATAGATCTTTTTAATTCCTTCACAGTCTGTTAGCAGTTTTGCGATCATGACTTTGCCCAGAAACCCTGTCGCCCCGGTCAAGAAAATCGTTTGGTTTTTGAAAATAAGTTTGATTTGGCTGTTATCGAGTGTCATGGTTGCGTATCACTAAAGAAAACGAGGTTTCCTTGGAATAACGAATTTTCATTTATATAAAAATGGGTATGTTGAATAATTTATGAAGAAACTTTGCATCATTGTTTATAATTATACCTTGTTTGTTTTCATATAACTGAACATTTTACAACGATCATTTTGTGTCATACAAAGTAAAAATCTAAATAAAATTTTAACAAAATAAATGATCATGCGACTAAGTATTTGTACGCTAGCTAATTGCTACTAAAAAATAGTGATAAAAACAATTAAAACTAAGATTCCGGCGGATATCGAAGAAACACAGACACAACATGAAAATTTTTCTAAGTTCGGCCTTCCTCCGGATTTCAGCAAACTTTTCGCAGTCCAGCTTTCTTAAAAATTCAGCAGAAATTCGGGCAGCGATTCAAGTTGGAAGATTTTAGCAGTTAACAGTTACAGAACGACCGAAGGCACCTCGAGACTTAACTGAAATTTGCTTCAAACGCTTCCTCTTTTATAAAACTTTTATCGTCTCCCGTGACTTTACCTAAGTAATAAGAAGGTGTGTTTTACGATCCTCTGCGGATGCGCCTTCGCGATTTTGTATGGTAGTAATTCAATTTAACACCAGTGGCATAAAATGCCACTTTTAGCGTTTCTTGACAGACGTCAAAACGCTTATTTTTAACAGTGTTTGCATAAAAACGTCTGCATCATTAAAAAAAAATTGTCTTATTTGTAGTGTAACCAAAAATAGATTAACACACGCACTGAAAAACATAACAAATATAAAAAAAGGATAACGATAAATATAACTAATTTAAGCAGCAAGTCAAATAGTGTTTGCGATTATCATTCTATACCCCCTCTAATTGTATGCCTGGCATTTTAACATAACTGAATTGTGCATTGTTTCCTTTTTCGCAAGTCACGTTACGTCACGAGATCAGAAATTAAAAAAATCGGTGCAAAAAAATAAAGACTATTATTAGAGTTAATTGTGTTTGCAAAATTTTTATTTTCAACTTGTATGCATATTCAAAATATTCTCAACTTCTCCATGTCTACTTACTTAACTCAGTTTTAAAAAAGACCTACTACTTTTGGTTAAATAATAACTACCCAATTTCTGATAGTTCGTTTTCTAACTAAAGAGTTTCCACTATTCAAATCTATCATAAGTCTTTTATCTTTTAGATTGTAAAATTTTATAAGTATACAATATTACAATGCTTTATCACAATGTATTTCACAAAAAAATTGGTACACCGAAATAATTTCTAAAATGGAATTACCAGTTTCAAGAGGAAGGTTATTTTTCACTTTTCGTATTTTTCTATAATCATCAATCAAATGCATAGTAACATGCATACGTGCATTTCCTTTACAACAGCTTACACAATAGAAAATATGGAAATATTTTAACCTACCACCTGTCCATCACTGAAAAGTAGAAAAAATCTTAAAATCAACATAAGTCAAGGTACAGACACGCGTGCGTGACTTACCAAGGTTCAAGTTCTAAAACGTGAACATTTAAAACATGATAACAACATTAAATGACTAATATCAAAAAGATTAGTACTTTCCAGAATAAAAAAATTATCTACACCAACATGGAAAAGTTGAGATAAAAAGTCAATATCTTGAGAAAAATATCTCAAGAAACTGAACGTAGGGCGGCAGTAACAAATCTCTGTTCTTTCGTAAGAATGGCACAAAAACAATAAAGGACATTTAAAATTAAAGGTCGATTTATAAACTTGCCGCTGACGTTGCTGTTCGCCGTTGCTGTTGGCGTTGTAAGATAAATATGCAACGAAGTTATGCGTCGTTTATATCATTCGTTGGCGTTGCCGTTGACGTTGGGTTTTCAACCAATCAAATTGCGGTAGTGTGCAGTGTTGCCAACCTGAAGGAAAATCCCCTGAAGTACGGGGGACACTTTTCTGGTTGACAGCACGAATTCCACGAAATGTTTTTCTTAATATGTGTAGTGTACTCTTCTTTTCACTTTAAATTTTTGTAGGAAAGTATTGATTTTGTAATTAAGCTCCGCCCCTCGGTCTGACAACGAATGAAAAATTCATCACGATTGAGATCAAGACGGATGGGTGGGGCTTCTCTTTTGGTTTTCTTTTTTAATTAATACAATACATTTAGTTTTCTTTATATAACACGATTACTTAAGAACATATTTCATATGAGAATTTCTCGTAGAAAAATAAGGATTTTACAATTAAGCTTCGCCTCTCGGCTACCCGACGAATAAAAAAAAATCATCAGAATTGAAACAGGGTGGGTGGGCGGGGCTTGTATTTTGCTTCTTTTGTCTTAATATACTGTTACCGGATCAAAACTACGAAAGCACTGCAGCCAATGAGAATCCTGGATTCGTGCCGAACTAGTGGGCGGAGCCGATTTCATTTTGCCTTTTTTTCTTAATATGTGTAGACTTATTTCGATAACAAGAAACTTGAAACATGTCTAAAATGTTATTTTTTTTTTAATAATCAACTTAAATCCTTTACTTTTCTTCTACAGCCGCTTTAAATACAGCAAAAGTTTAACATCAAAGGTACTATCAACGGCAATTTCGCAACGAGAACTTCAACGTCAACATCAAGTTTATAGATCCCACTTAAGAGGCAATTAAACAGAAAAAGAAAAAAAGTCATGCGGAAAAACATTCAATCGTCACAGATTATTATTAATATTTAAGATCCATCACTGACCCGGAAACCAGAAATAACCGGCATTCAGGCAAAACTTCTATCATTACGGGTACTAAGACCAAGTAATGAATAATATTATGGATGTTATTGTTATTTGTCCGAACGTCAACATTCTAAAAGCTGACAGCTCTATTTAACTAGCTAAAATAAAAGCAGGAACACAATATGGCTAACGTAAAAGACAAAAATGGAAACATAGTCACAGATGAAGAGGAAATATGGACAGATAGCAATAACAATAACATTTCCAGGAATTAAAGGAAGATGGTCTAAATAAAGAGGAAACATAAAATTACATAGGAGAAAAATGAAGAGAACAATCAAACAAGTTAATGAATGAGATAATACAGGAAATAAAGATAACAAAAGATTGGAAGTCGGCGATAATATTAAGTAGTAACATAAAAAAAATGGTAGAATAGAGATTGCAATAATTATTATCAAGCATCCTCGGAAAAATGTTAGCAAGAATAATAAAAAGAAAAGTAAAAGGGACGATTGAAACGAGTGCAGAAGACACTCAATGTGGATTCAAAAGGGGAAGAAGTACACAAGACCTAACATTTGTGGTCAGGCAAGCCAGCAAAAAATTTATATTACAAGAAGAAAGGAATAGATGTTTGTTGTCTAGACTTGGAAAAAGTATTTGACCCCATGATTTGACCGGGGAAGAAGAGAAGACATGGAAATCCTTAGAAAAAAGACAAATAAATGAAGGGACAATAAAAAATTATAAAAAAAATGTACAAGGACAACACAAATAATAAAAACAGAACAATCAAAAGAATTTAAAACAAAGATGGGAGCGAAACAGGGATGTGTATTAAAATGTGTAACATAAAATTCCAATGAAAATTAATAGAACAAGGACAAGTTTGCAAATAATACTTGGGAACAGTAATAAGTACAAAGCAATGGAAAAATAGATCAAGAAATAAGTGAGAGTGAAGGAAACAAGAAAAATGTTTACCAAGATGGGAATAAAATTCTTATGCAAAAAGGAAATACTAAAACAAATAAAAATAAAAATATGTGATGAAGTAGAAAGCGGATACAGTTTTAATGTACCTATAGTAGGAAATATGGATCATTATGCACAACGATAGAAAAAACGAAAAGATGTATTCATGAAGTTGACATCAGATTTTTAAGAAAAATAGAAAAGAAATGTGGTGATCGAATTTGAATTAAAATTTCGCGCTGAAAGAAATTAATAGCGGCACGGAATCGCATTTGAATAATTTGAATTTGAAAAAAAACAATCAAGAAAATCCTTAAACATAGGCAAAGCATGTGCACATTTAGTTCTTTTTCTGGTAGTTGTAGTTCTGAATTTTAGTTAAAAGGGTTGGTAGTGAGAGAGGGGTGCTTGCTTGGTAGAGGGTGGGGAAAAGGTCTCTCTTGATTTGTTGTTGTGAGTGAAAACCACGTAGTGAGTTAGCTAGGTTTAGGTTAAGTTAATTGGTTTAGTAGTTACTAAAATGGAGAAAGTCTTTGTTTAACCAAAATTACTCGTAACGACGACGACGACACAGTTTCCCCAACACGTGTGCTAGGTCTTGCCATTTTTTCAAGCGGAAACAGGAGAATTTTCGACCGACGCTAACAAGTGTATAAATTTGTTTTATTATTTGTAAATTCACAGTTCTTGTCAGGAGTTTAATCGTTAACTGGTTCTAACATAATTTAACGGTCAGGAGTTTGATTAGATATGGCTCTTGTTAGGAGAATTGCATGAAATTCCCTTAGTCAGGACACATTCTTTGTTTATGAATTGTGAATAAGTTTCTGGATGCTTATACTTAAGTGTTACATTATAACACTTCCTAATTCTTCACACAAGCTAAATCAATCTAACGTTGACCTACTCTGGGAAAAGACCGTGGAAAGTACGGTAGAATTCATAATATCGTAGACTGAGGTACGGGGGATTATAAATTTTTGCCTTTGCACAGTTATCATTGTTATGATCATCGTTATCATCATCACACCACCGAGATATATTCTCTCTCAACGCTGGATACATTTTGTGTTGTTTGTTTATCATATGTTTTGTTTGGGATAAGCTGAGGACAGTCCACGATATAAACTCTCAAAGCTAATGGTTTTAAGTAACTAATCACTTGGATCAAGACATCATTTAACATATAATAAATTCTTTGTTTGAATCGTTGATAAAGTGTGGCATAATTTAACACAGATAAATTCTTTGTTCTGGCACCGGCCATGTTGAAAGCGTATTTTCAAACCGAGCACATGTTTGAACTGTAAAATCTCATTGAACAAATTAAC